TTGTCTGCTACCAGACACCAGAGGTTCATTTGGGAAGCAGAGCGAATGTGCAGCACGTCAGTGAGGATGAGGCGTTTTTTCCTCTTGCAGGGTCACTTAGTGACTCAGGCCGATATGTTTACATTAAAATGCTGTGCAGTGCAGCATCGGTCCCGGCTCGTATTTGGATTCACAGTAACTTCCTCCTCCGTTGAAGATTGGTGTACAACCTGATGAGGGTTAGATTTTCAGAATATAGAAGGTGATTTGAGAATGCCCAGGATACGTGCTGTGAATCCTAAAGTTACAATACACGATTTTTTGATTTTACTAAATTGCCAAAAATGTCACCTTTTGCTGGTGGCAGTCTGTGCATGTACTGTAGGTACTGTGTGTGCGTGTATGTGGACTGGCGACAGTCTGTGTATGTAATGTATGTATGCAATATGTTATTTGTATTGTTTTAACAGCAGACACTGTATGTTTCCAAGACAAATTTCCTTCAGGACAATAAAGTCTATCTTATCTTATCTTAAAGGCAACATATAAGACGTCTTTAAAGTGCTCAGAAGAAAAACAAACCGGGCGAGGTCCATCTGCTGAAGAAGACCATGTGATGTGACCGAAAGTGCTGGAACAGCTACTGAGTGGACCTGGTGGCGAGATTGTTTTCTCAAAAGCCAAAGTTGAATTGACAAAAATCCCGACAAGTGCCCAATAGGGCTGCACAATTAATCGAATTTTAATCGCGATCACGATTTTGGCTGCCACAATTAAATGAGCATGATCGTCAGCGATATTGACGTTTAAAATGCGTGCTCTGCTACATATCGAATTAAGTGCTTCCTCAACTAACAGTCAGCCGACCACCAGGGGGAGAACGAGATGGGAGGTGTCATGCGCGCACCCTGCAGACTCCGGTATTAGTAGAAGAGTAGAGAGACAGACAACAGAACAGACGGTCACGGGTGTCGTGTGAAAGGTAAATCAAATGTCAGGAGCAGAAGGTGAGGAGCTAGCCCCTCGACAAGGATCATCAGATACGAGATCCCCTCGCGCAATTATTTCTGTGATGGCATATTTATTTTTAGTTAGACCTTTATTTTGGGTAAAAATTTTCTTCAGGTGAATAAGAACCGTATAAGTTTTATTTTGATGCAAAGACGTACATTAGCAGGAATGTAGCACAACATGGAAGTGAAAGCAGTGCTCTGTTGATTTAATTTTGGGTAAAAAGTGTTGATACTATTTTATTTATATTTTCCTTCTACGAGATGCACTGTGCCTGATGCATTAGCCAGAATGTAGCACAACAATGGAAGTGGAAGCAGTGTTCTTGTTCATTTAAACGTGAAAGTGCAATAAAAAGATGTTGTCCCTAAAATTAATGAATAATCGTGATAAATAATCGTGATCGCAATATTGATCAAAATAATCGTGATTATGATTTTGGCCATAATCGTGCAGCTCTAGTGCCCAAACAATTCGTGGATTTACCAGTAAATAGGTCTACCAACAGGAAATCAATGGACAATCATTTACATAATACATTTGTTTAGGTAATTTCAAAAGCAAAAATGTCAAACATGCTCTTCAGGATTTGCTGTTTTTCTCCCGTTACATCATTCTAACTTTTAAAAAGATAGTTTTTCAGCCTTGCTGCTTTATTGGATAGCGACAGCTTGGAGAAAGACAGCAAAAGTAGTTCATTTAAACCAGAGGTAGCCAACACGGTGCCCGCGGGCACCCTGTCGCCCGCAGGGACCACCTGAGTCGCCTGCAAGGCATGTTCTAAAAATAGCACTAGTCACCATGGAGCTCCGTCTAAAATTGTAATTGCTGTTCTTTTTTTAATCAAAAACGCTTGCATTAGTGTAGATTTTAAAATGACAATATTTCTTGTCATAAGAGAGTTGGGTACCCAGAGGCGCACGGCGGACAGCCAGGACGAGGCCGCCGCACTAGGTTTTCAGGTTCTGAATGGCGGGCAGCTTCCCGTCGAGCGCACCCCGTCGTCAGGTCCGTAAATCCTCGGAACAGGCCGCGGGGCAACAACTCGGGGGTGGCGGGGGTAGAGGCGAGGCAACGCAATCCGACCGAAAAGGCCCAGACTAGAGGCTTGAACGCGGGCGCCCGAAGACGCTCGCGCGCCTCGGAGGGTTGGATCCCCCGCTCCGCTATAGACGAGACTTTTTACTAGTTTCTTCGTGGAGAAAAAGGTACCATTAGAAAAGCTGGTGTCGGTGATAACAGACGAGGCTCCCGCGATGACGGGCGGCATGCAGGCTTCATTGCGCAATGCAAAGGTGACCCAGACGTCGCAAAATGTCTACATTACCACTGGATCATTCACCAGCAGGCGCTATGTGCAAAAGTAACCGGCTTTAATCATGTGATGATACAAAAATATCAGAGATGTGATACCTCTGACTTTCAAATTTTGAAACAGATTAACAGAAATAAAAGTTGCATGTTTAAATAGGTATGTGTAGCTATACCATCATTGTTGTGGAAATCATTATTAATAATTATTGTGAGGAATAATTAACTGACATGTGATCAAACAGTCTCTTCACATATATTATTATTATTAAAAGGTGATCTGTGCAACTTTGTTATTCAGGAAGTTTGTATCAAATAAGTAGCCCTTCGTACTACTCGGTACCCTTGAAGTAGCTCTCAGTTTAAAAAAGGTTGGTGACCCCTGATTTAAACTAACAATCTTTATGTGTGGCACAAATCTGTTCACATCCTCAGTGTTTAATCAGGACTATAATCTATCTTTTATAGTTATAAGTTATACTTTTATCTATGTGAAATGAGGCCCAGTGGTAGGTTTCTGTGACCTTACATTTTTCTTGTATGAGTGGTACAAATATAAATTAAAGTGGTTAATAAAAATACTCTGCATTATTAATGAAGCTTGGACCTCAGATTATTGCTCAATACTAGTCGTTTCCTCTCCAGCCCTGCTGTCTAAAACTGGCATTATGATTTGGGATGACTCTAGCCGCTCAAACAATGCAAAGGGTCCTCTGACTGGCTAGATTAATAATGTAGACAGACTCGCCATAATAGACTCCCCTCATGCTGGTTAAGGGATTTGCACCGCTACCTCGATGTGGATTGTGTTTACTTATGGATCAGCAGAGCGTGAACCAACACAGGCTACAAGGATAAACAACTGTGCTAATGAGAGCTCAGTGAGCGCTGACAATTAATGATCACAGCAAAGTGTTTGCAACTGTTAAATGGCAAACGTGGTTCGCAAGGATCTTCAGTAGTTCTCCCATAACTGACCGGGCCTACCGAGCACAGGCTCAGGGGTTAAAAATGGTCAGGGCCCTGGCCTTCACCGACAAAGAGACACGCATCAACCAGGAAGAGACTCAAAATGACCATAAATAAACAACTACAAAGAGACTCAAAACAACTACAAAGTGATGCAACAGCCGCAAAGAGACTCACAAAAGGGGCAAAACAAAGAGACTCCAGACAAATACAAAGTGACTCAAAACCTTAAAGACATGCCTAACGACTACAAAGAGAAACTAAACAACGACAAAAAGAGCCTAACCAACTATAAAGTCTGTGTGTCTTGCTCCTATGGTAGTTCCAGTGTCTCCCCCATGCACCATGAGGGGGATCCAATGAGTCCCTGGCTAAATAATCACTATAATCTAATTGAATAGAATAGAAAGTGAATCATTATTAGAATCTCACCACTATTACCACCTCACCATGTATACAGTATTCAGCAGAGTGTAAACATCTACTAAGGGGCTATGGAGTCATTTTATAGTGCATGTCTAATTCTACAGTTCAACACAGCAGGAATTTTAAAATAATGGTTTAAGATAGACGCCATCTTGTTCCATAATCAACAAAAGCTGGGGCTATCCTGTTCATTACTGAAATTTGATAACTCACATTCCTGCTTCTCTCAATATTTCTCACTGATGTCTTTAATATGCATCAGGTCTTCTCTGGGACCAAGCACAGGGAAATTCAAATATTCTGGCTGTATGTTTTAGTGCAAAAGGTGCAGCAAAATGAACACAGAATTATGACTTGAGACCTTTGAGAAACTCCCCGTGACATTCTGAAAGTTCATAAACTACAATCAGTTTCTGAAAATAAAAGGAAAAGAAAGGTTGATTTTTTGATTTATTATCAAATGGCTCTCAAAAGATCTCAAAACAGGTATCCAAATGAAACATAAGCTATATACAGTCCAAATAAAACCTTTTTTTTAAATTAAGCTTGGCATGTAAATGTCTGTGCTAGTCTGACTTCCGGAACAGGTTTCTTGGGCCCAGTCCGAAGTGAGGATATACTTCACATACAGTGGGATATGATGCAGGTACGGGCACAATACAAGTCATCCTTGTTGGCATCAGGAGGGCGACACAAAAGCGACTTAGCTATCCGAATTTCAAAATACTGTCAGCTTAATAATGACAATTGATGTAGTTAAAAGTCGATTATGCAGGAATATTAAATGGTGTTTATGACGGAGAGCACCAAGATGTTCCTGCGTACCAAACTCCCTTTGAAATGGCTGCTTTTAGTTCAAGGTTCCTGCGAGACTAAACATGATTCAATATATTTTATGAAGTACTGGTAGACACTCTTCAATTCCGCGCCGATATGTTCAACCAAACAGTATGTAGTTTGTTATAAAAAATAAAGTTAACATCGGTTCGCACAGTTTAGTTGCCCGGGTACCGCGGAGGGGTTTACCGGAAAAAGTACTGCAGGAATCAGGCGGACCAGGTGAAAAAGTCGGTGTTTCACTTAAAGATAGTGCCGATTCAGGGACATAATCTTACGCCGAATTGAAAAGTGGATCCTAATATTTAAATATAATGTTGTGTTAAACGGTAAGAGCCAACTTACTTCAAACGGCATGGACACATTGTTAGAATTTACTTGTTTCATAGCTGAGTTTTGTCAGAGCTTTTACTAACAAGCGGAAAAGCAGAGGGAAGTTATTGGCCATCAACGGCCAGCCGTCCTACCGTTGCGTCGCGGCTCCTGCTGCAATGACACGGTTCCGTCCCTTTGCAGGAGGATGGAGGACGGGTCCTTCACCCGGCTGCCTGTCCCGGTGGGCGGGCGGGGCACCCTCAACCCGCTACAGCACTGGTAGCACACCGCCCATGCCTGCTCCTCGTTAATGGGCTGCTCGTAAGACTTCAGCACCTCCTCCAGAGACAGTTCCCGGGGCTCGGCCAGGTCCCGCGCCTCTCCGCGATCGGTGGGGGCCGTTACCCGTGAGCCCCTTTCCTCGGCGCTTCTGTTGGTGAATCTGGCCATGGCTGCGATAGCGTGGAGCCCATTCTTCACTCCTTAAACACCGGGGCCATGTATGTAGTCCACTGACTCCCGTTCGGCGCTGTCTCCTCTTCTGTCCTCCTCTAAACGTCTACCGCTCCTCAAACTACCGCAGCTGAACCTGTTTACCACAACAGTGTCAAGGTCGCCATACTGATCGCAGCACTTCCTGTTCAAGTTTTCAAAAATAAAACCAGTGTTAATACACTTTTTTTAGCAACGTAAATTAACACAGTAAAAGGCATGTGTGTTTTTATTTTTTCCATGAATGTTTTGTACACCCTCAAACCACATTAATACGGTTTTACTTAGCATATGATGCAGGCTGAGTTTAATCAACAGCAACCTGAAGTGCTTTTGAGCAAGGCATTGAACTCCCAATTACTAGAGCCCAACATCAGACAAATGTTAAGGTCTAATATTTTTGTAATTCTTTAGTTTATGTAACAGAGAACTAATGGTATAGTGGAAAACATTTTTCCGACATTGTAATATTTTAAATGTGATGTATATTTCTGCAATATTCTGTTATCCGTTTCAGACACATGCGAAGAAAATTGTTGGTTGTAGTTAAATGTGTATTCATTTATTTATATTCTTTTTTCTTATTCATTTACAAAGGAAAAAACGGTTGATATAATCACGGTTTCAGTTTAACGCTCTTGCTATTATTTTGAAAGTAACGCCACTAAGCTTCCGATCGAGGCCTATCTTATTCAGACGGACTTTGAATTAGCTTGTTGCCATGTCAGCAAATGAGGGAGACGATTGGATCTACGGGAAAATGTTAAGCAGGGCAGAAACTATCCTCCCGGCTGTCGCATTATCCACCTGCTGTTAGCCGAGAGAAGGAGAGGATGAGGGGAGGACAAGAGAAGTTTATTTCACTTCATGAATCAGGTCTAACTGTTGATGGTATATCATGTTCTCACGATGGGACGAGTGTTTGACTGCATCCATCCCCCTTTCCTGCTCCTCTCTCGGCTCTTTTCACCATGGTCATTTAACAAGAATGAAGTAGAACTTCCGAGCACATCTGTCAAAACAAAGTTCCGCGACCGCCAAGCTGCAAGATGTCAGTTATTAGTTTACCACCGAACTTCGAATTTACCTAAAACATACACACACATAAACATACACACACATATATATATAAAATTACATCCATATTTTAGGTTTGGTTGTAGGGAGAGCCAATTGGAGGGGGAAGATGAGGGATATTTTCTTTAAAAAGAAAATTCGAATTATTATTATTATATAATGAAATTTAAAATATAATAATGGATAACACATAAAAACTGTTGCCATGTCCACCCTGAAGGACAAACAATGCTAATAATGGAAAACAGTAATATTTAATTTCATGGAATGATTAAAGATTTGAAGTACAAATGTAATCATTATTGCATTAGTAAAAGTATGGAAATATATTCAGAAGTGTGCTGTTGTTTTCCATTTGCCGTGGTATTGTCAATGGGCCCCCGTCCGTTTTGACTTGATCTTTGCTCTGAAAATAAATTACAACAACAGTGGTATTGGGCCATGTGAAGCAGCTTTGTACTATGTAATAGATATTTTGGGAAACCAAATGGAAAACAAGGATAGAATTAAGGGACTAAGTCAGTGGTTTTTCATGTGCTAGCTTATCAACTTCAAATCCCATTAGTTTTAACATTACTGCTGACTATTTTCCCAAGTAAACCATATATTTTTAGATCGATTTCCTATGTGTGTGGCAGAATTGGTTTTCCCTTAATTGCATTGTTGGTGACTTTCATGACATGACTGAGATTTTTAAGCTCCAGCAAAGAGTGTGTTGAAAGGAAAGGTTAATTTTCTCTACACGCATCACATTTGCATATAGTTACGATGGCGCCACGGTCTAAGAGAATGCTAATAGCTATAGCCCAATGGCTTAAACAAGTATGAAATATGGTAGTTTTTACATGGTTCATTTTTCACATGGTAATATTGAGAATGAACATCTCAGCTAACTGAATTGTGTCAGCATAAGTTGTATGCTTCAAACTATTTTGAGCTTTTTGTCAGCTTCCAAAAAATCTCATAAGTATCCAGGGGAGTAATGAGAGGCCGCTTCACATCATGGAAGTCTTTAATGCGTCATGGACGTGTCAAACCTTTCATTTTGAAGGCAAAATCACTTTGTTTCCTGATTTAAATCTGGCTTCTAGTGTTATCTTGTTGCAGCATCTTTTCTCTGCAGTATCAAACTGCAGTCAGCTTACTGAACCTAAAACGAAAAAGACACTTACATATTGTTATATGTGTATACATCCCAATATTAATTGCTGATATATGTTAAATGTTACATTATACACAAATCATTATCCAGAATAAATTGTTCTCATTCAGGTGTCATTACATTTCTGATTTTTTTTTCGGAATTCAGCCATATATGGATTACTGAACAGGCCTCCTCGGCACAGGCACAACCGCAAAGAGACACAAAAGGTCTACAAAGATCTATGGAAAACATCTAAAACAAAGGGTCAAAACAACCACAGACAAAAACAACTACTAATAGTTAATTAATTACAGTGTGACTCAAAACAGTTACGAAGACACAACATGGATACAGAGAGACACAAGAAGACCACAAAGATACTCAAAATGACTACAAACAGACAATTAAGAACAAGCTAAACAACTATCAAGTCTATGTGTATTGCTCCTATTTAGAAGAGGGCCCTTTAGCATGTCTGTGCTCAGGGGCCCATTGTCTCATAATCAGCCCATGCCTTTCACTCCCCAGTAGTCTCATTATCAGCAGGAACGTCATTTCCAAGGATATGAGTCTTCGTGACAAACGTGGAAGTAGAAAATGTTCAGAAGTCCGTGCTTTTCTACCACGTAGTTGTCTTTTACATATTGAAAAAAGTTCTGAAATTTGAATTTGGAAGACGTGGGTGCAGGTGTCATACCAAAGTGCTGTTTGGAATTCCCTCTTTGTGTTACTATCCAGACAGTTCCCTTTGAGGAGGGAGAGTAACACTTTGGTATGACACCTGCACCCACGATAAAAATGACTGGATCTTCATAGCTCTGAGTTTAGAGTGCATTAGGCAGAATCTAAATGTACTTATGTGTCATATTCCACAGCCACTCATGTGTGTATTTATTTATATACAGCATATATTTTTAAATTACGCTCAGTTAAATATTTATATAAGGCGTATAGAGCGTAGTGTCTTTGTAAACATTGATGTATGCATCTACAAAACGTGTTCTATATAAGTATATGTAAGAACATACATCGACTAATTACAGGCTGTACAACATATGCCAACGCTGTTGTAGGATGGTCATAAATGTATAATTCTTCTTGAATTATGTTTTGGTGTGTAGTGGCTTTCTGTGAAAGAAACCTCAGGAACCATCACAGTGAACATTGTGATGAGTGTAGTGAGTAAAAGTGATTAACTCCAAACTATTTTTTGTTAGATCTTTCTTATCAGTACAGAGATGTTTTAATCCTATTTCACACGATTCAACTAGACTCAGCCAACAGATGGCACCCAAACGTAAGTTATGTGCTGCTGTCATCTTCTCACGAACATTGTGAAGCCAGGTTTTAACAACCAGCTTCCAGTGAAAGGCCACAGAATGGAAACAGCCAAAGGTTACATGTAAATATTTATTGCGATCATTAGTACCATAACGTTTCATAATTATAAATACGAACACCAAACCCCTCGGAAAGGCACCGACACTGTCAACTGACTCTTCACACAAAACCAAAACACAAGATAAAGGGTCGAACACACACACACACACACCAGTAAACAGTTTCATACGTTTCACATTACACAGGGACAACATGTTAACTGTTCAGGCACTTCGTGAAATCAGTGGCAACTTTTTTTCCAAAAACATTTGATTCAATCCACAGAGGAAAAGCATCATGTTGGTCAGTTTATCTGCACATTTGAACTGCTGATCCCGTTTGCTTGAAGGTTGAAGCATCACTGTGCAGAAGTTACATTCATCCAAGCTCTTTCGTCACTCTTTCAGTGAGTAAAATGGCTGTAAAAAGGAAAATCTCCCTATAATGATTCACATCCAACAATACCCCAAAACACTGCCGTTAAACACTGTTAGTAGAGTGTGTTCTGTTCAGCGCTCTCCTTTCAACACTCAGCATGTATTTGTTAATGCAAAGGGTGGGATACTCGGCCGGCCAGAACGTCCGCTGGGAAATACATAAACATTTCTGCACACACACACACACACACACACACACACTGAGAGAACACAGTGTACTAAGCCAGCACTTTGTTCCATGTGTTCTATATGTTCCATACGTCTCAGGCAGACAATCAGAGTGAAGAAACAGACTCTCGTCTTCGGCGATAGTAACTCTTACTGACCCTGGCAACACAGGAGACGTACTGTATTTTGTTTCACTTAACTTTAACAGGTACCTGTAAGCATTTCTTATTGAATATAGTGTGTAATTACCTGCGGATATCATGTTAAGGGCTTTTATTGTGAAAGGTAAGAATTGGAAAGGGGCGATCTGGTCCACACTGCCTTTGTCAAGGTTGAAAGGAGCAATAAAGCTTGCCTTCTTGGTTCCGACTACAGGGCATCTGTGTTGTGTTTTTTATAAATAAGCGTAGATCAACCTGTTCCGCACAACGTGATTGGTCGATGCCTGTATTCGCATCGCTAAAGCTCAGAGAAATCAACCTTTTTCCACAAAAAAATGCGTCCCTCTTTCACCACATAATATTTACAAACTGTGTGAAAGAAGTCATGGCAAAAACAATAGAAAAATATATGATGCAAATTATTTGCATGAAAATAATTATTTGCATGATTCTAGTATTTTGTGATGAGCTGCTACTTTGGAGCCCTCGTGATGTGACTCATCCCTTGAAAAATCACTAGAGTCACTTTCTACATGTTGCCTTCGGTGAAGTCATGCTTTCTTTTCTTAATGCTCACTGCTCTGTGGGTCCATCAGTGAAAGTTTTTCTGTTTTTCTTTTTTTACAGCTGCCTGCACAAAACAAGGTTGGTAAGCTGCGGGTCTGAAAACTAAAGAAATTGTCAAAGGTACTCTCCTCAAAACACTGTTATGTATTGCATCAGTGTAATCGTTAATCAAACAACAAAAAAAGAACAATGTTGTCCGCAGTCATGTATGAGTAAGCTACACCACTGTCAGCTATACCGGGCAGCGTTACCCTTGAGGAGTTTCAAGTGGCAGCATCAAGTAAATGTTTGAGTTTGTCCAAACATTCAAATAACAGGAACTAGACGTCCCTCGTGTGTATTGGGAAGGAAGTTCAACCATTGGTTTTGACCATAAATTCCAGTGGGAGAGGATTGCTTAAACGGTGACCAAACAGACACCTGAGAATAAATCTGGGGGGAAAATGAAGTACCTCCACAGTTGTGGACCCACTTTGAAAATAGAGTGTACTTGCCTGGTGCAAGTGTGGCTTTGCTGATTCAAATTCAGTACATCAAAATAAGCAGCGGGCTAACAGCTAACTTAAAGTGTGCTTCCTGACAGATGTCGACCTAAGCAAACAGTCAGTGGCCTCTTCTCTGTGGGAGCGTCATCGGTGATCAACAGTCTCCTGGTGATCAACAGTGTCCTGGTGGTACAGACCGGGCCTTCAGGGGACGCTGGCATGACGCCCAGCTTCAAACAATGTGGATTCAAATGTGCACACACTGACTGATGGCAGCAGCTCCACAGAGTATCAGGACTTGCAGGGATTCTTGTGTCACATCACTGCTAAATATGCTCTGACTGTGCAAAAACCCAGGCCCAGATTCACTTTGAGCAGGGAAGACCGCACTCCAATGAGCCCACACGGGTCACAAACTGCACACAAAGTGGAAAGCTACTAAAGAGCGCTGGTTTTGAATAAAAAAATACAGCCTCTTTGTGTTTGTCCTGATCATGTTATTTATTATCTGTCAACTTCCTTATGTCCATCTAGCCATCCATTATCTTTTCTGCTCATCTGGGGCCAGGATGTGGGGGCAGCAGTCCCTCTCCCCAGCAACATTTTTCCAGCTCTTCCTGGTGAACCCTGGTGTTTAGTCCAGCGTGTTCGGGATCTACCCCCGCGTCTTATCAGTTGGACGTGCCCAGAAAACCTCTAAAGGGTCCAGTAGGCATCCTGATCATAAACCTGACCCACTTCCGCTGACCCCTTGCAAAGGAGCAGCGGCTCTACTCAGAGCTCCCTCCGGATGTCTGAGTACAGCCACCCTCAAAGGAAGCTCATTTAGGCTCTGCTATCCGCGATCTCATTCTTTTGGTCACTACCCAAAGCTCATGACCATAGGTGAGGGTCGAAACGTAGATGGACTGGTAAATCGAGAGCTCTGCCTTCCGGCTCAGCTTACTCTGCACAACGGTACAACGCCCGCATCACTGCTGATGCCCGCTGCATTTTACCCTCACTCGTGAACAAGACCCCGTGATACTTGAACTCCCATGCTTCGGGCAGTGACCCAATTCCAACCTGGAGGGCCAATCTACCCTTTTCCGGCAGAGACCATGGCTTCAGACTTGGAGGTACTGACTTTCATCTCGACTGCACACCGCCCGGTGCATGCTCAAGGTCATGGTCTGACGGAGCCAACAGAGCCACATCATCTGCAAAGAGCAGAGACACAAATCTGAGGTCCCCAAAGAGGAGAGTCCTCCCCCACCCTAATTTTCCAACTGAATTAAGATTGCAGCAGTTTCACAAATACATTGTCACGCAAACTCACCCAAATTGTAAAATCTTTTGAAGTTTTGGGTAGTGCAGCCAATCCAAGTTGTATAATTGCTGCAAAATTGTTCTTTTACACATGAGCCAGTCTTCAGGCAATAAGGGTAAATCTTGGTGGATCAGGTAATGTGTTTTCCATTTTAGTTCCAGATATATGTGATACAGCATTCTCCAGCCCTCTGTACCAAATCTATTGTCAACAATTCTGGTGTTTAATCCTCTCACTCCACTGACAGTGTGAAGTGTGTATTCGTCACAAATCAATGCTTTAACCTCAGACACCATGCAAGGTGATGACTCATTCTGCGGTACCACTCATTACAGCCAATAAACCCTATAAAGTCAGTCCAATGTAGTCTGTTGGTGTCTTTGTCATTCAAATGCAATTTTAACCATTACTAGGATGCTCTGTTTTATCTGGCAACCAGCTGAACTGGTACGGTTCCTGTGGCACCAGTAGATCTATGTCAAGTCTCTTCTGTTCTTTTTCACTGTTAACCGTCCTGTATCCGAGCAATGACATGGCCCCTTTACACACCTCCTGGATACGTTTGACCTTGTTGTGTGGCAGCATGGTACGCCAAGCCTGGGAGACATCGGCGGCATTCCGCGAGGTGATATCGAAGGCCTCTTTCCTGGAGCCTTTGCCTTTTCCGTGAGTCACCCTGTAGATCCATTCCTCCAACTGGCTGGTCGCCTCCAGACCTACAAACTCATACAGGGCAGTTATCTCCTCAAGTGGGTTGCGTGCCACGTCCTCATAGCGGACCATTTTGTAGCGGCCTTTTAGAAATGGAGGGGGCTTCAGGATGGCCCTCTCATTAATGCGGACGTGGCTTCGGCAGATCTCCTGCATGACTTGATACTGCACCTCGGCTGCTGGAATGCTTCTCTGCTCCAAGACGATGGCGCTATCACTCATGAAGGCTTTGGCTGACTCCTCTCTAGACCGCACCACAGCCCGGGGGTCTCGGACCAGGTGGATAATGCGGAGATCTAGGCTTGGGTCCTGCAAGAGCGGATAGAGGGATTCCAGCTCAAAGAATCTCACTTCTTTCAGTACCACGTGACTGTAGGTGCCACAAGCCTCCTCCACCCCCTGCAGGCCCCTAGTACCACATGTCTTGGAGCACTGAGTCTGGTTGCTGAACTGGCCACGTGGCGTGAGAGGACAGGCCGGCGGCGAGCACAGTGCTCTACTGTGACTCCACATAAACAAGGAGGACACATTGTGGTTCTCTGGCAGGTAGGCCTCCATCACAGAAAAGTCACACTGGAATACGCTTCGTAACAGATCCCTCACAGCCATTCGAAGAACCCGCGCACCGGGTTTTGGAAGTTTGGTCCACACATGCCACGCTGGCTCCATAAGATAGAAGACAGATGGGTGCTGGCTGAACACTTGACCTACGAAGGACGAGCCTGATCGCCACGATGACAGCAGCAGAACGTGAACTTTGCCGTTGGAAGGAGCGGAACTGCAGGGACTGAGCTGGACGTACCAGCCGCAGAACAGAACCACTGCTGCTCCCTGCAGGATCACCAGGAAAATCATTGTGCTGAGGTTCACTCTGCAGCGGAGCATGATGGCTGAGGATCACTGCCAGTCTCTGGTGCTCGATGTGGATTTTTTTCTTTTCCGTGCTTGGTGGAGCTGAGAGAGAGAGAGAGAGAGAGAGAGAGAGAGAGAGAGAGAGAGAGAGCAAAATGGATATGTTGAATAGGAAACATGTTTTTCCACAAAGCATAAACACTTACCATTGGTATAATATTGTATATAATGAATAATTAGGCCACTTTCATCCTAAAAAGAGGATTATGAAAAAAATCCGAGACCCTAAAATAATTTGTCTTTCACTAAAATTGTTGAGCCAAAAGCAATATAAGCAATATCTCGTCACACTTTCAGAAGCAGTTTCAGTGTATTTTTGTAGTACTTGTCGAGAGCACTCTTCACAAATTGCCGAACAAGTTGATGAAAACAGAGCACAAGACTAACTAACAAACCGCAACATATTCAAAAGGGTTTTTCAACCATAATCAGTACATTGTATTTATATATGAGGGTAGGCTTGGGTGGTGTCTGTTTTTCATACCTTCATTCCTTTCTTACATTTCATGGGTGTGTGGTATGTGACGGCATATGGTTAAATATGATGGTATGTGACGGTATATGGTTAAATATGAT